GGGCTCAAAAGGGGAGCGCCCCCAAAGACAACAGCCGTCCAAGACAACACTATAGCTTTAAGCTATCCACAAAATCCAAAAGACAATCCATTGAATTACAATCCTGCCCATTTACCCAAAAGAATAAAGAAGTAAGAATACTATATTTAATAGCCCAAATGGGAGACTCCTCTCCCTCAAAATATCTCCTATTTCTCTCGCGCCACAGACCCCACCAAATACAAAGGGGAGTGGCCCTCCAAGCATCTCTTCTCTCGTGGTAGAAGTATTGGGTAGGGCTGTCCATTGTCCCTTCTGCTCTTTACTTTGGGCCTTCGGCTACTGAGCACTTTAGCAATCTGATGGAGAATGCCATTACTAGGGGGATAGTAACTCTTTCCAGGGCTGTTGTGAAGGCTGGTGTGGGACTGTCTCATGTTTCCTATACAGATGATCTCCTATTGATGGTTGAAGCTGATGTTAGCACTGCTCATTGTATTCTTGCTGTATTCAATCAGCTGTATATGGACACAGGCTTGCAGGTGAGCAAAGAGAAGAGTGAAATTATCTATTCCAGAGCTGTGAGGAGGAGCAGGAGCAGAAGCATTGACAGGATCTTTCAATTTAGGAAACGTTCATTCCCTATCCACTATTTGGGTCTGCCTTTATCTGATTTACGTTTGAAAAAAGGTGCCTTTATTCCACTGATGGCCAAATTAAATTCTAGAATGACTCTCTGGAACTCTTTGAACCTGTCTCTTGCTGGAAGATCTGAGTTGATCAAGACTGTTGTTATGTCCGCTCTGTATAATTGGGCTTATTGTTTTAAAATCCCTTGGGAAAGTAGGATGGATATTGAGGGGAAAGTAAGAGGGTTCTTGAGGGAGCATACTGACTCAACAAAGAAGATTAGGAGTTGTGTGGAGGAGCAGAAGCATTGACAGGATCTTTCAATTAGGAAAGGTTCATTCCCTATCCAGTATTTGGGTCTGCCTTTATCTGATTTACATTTGGAAAAAGGTACTTTTGAACCACTAATGGACAAATTAAATTCTAGAATGACTGTCTGGAACTCTATGAACCTGCCTCTTGCTGGAAGATCTGAGTTGATCAAGACTCGAGTTATGTCCGTTCTGTATTATTTGGCTTATTGTTTTAAAATCCCTTGGGAATGTAGGATGGATATTGAAGGGAGAATAAAGGGTTCTTGTGTGGCCATACTGACTCAACAAAGAACTTACATGTCCTAAAAGGGTCCAAGGCTACTTTACCAGTCTCAGAAGGAGGTTTTGGCATCAGAAAAGTTGATGAGGTGGATTATTCTTCAAAATGCTTATTACTATGGGATTTTATTCAGAATGAGGACAAACTTTGGGTCAGGAGGTTCAAGGGTAAATACTTGCTGAGAGGGAGCTACTGGTCTTGCATTCCTAAGGCTCAGCATTCTGCTGTTTGGCAAAGTGTTCTTGATGTGAGATCATTCATGCTGAATCATTGTATTTTTAAAATAGGTGATGGTGCTCATTTTCAATTATTGAGAGATCCTTGGTGTTATGGTTTGATTTTGATTAAGAGATTTGGCAGTAATGTGTGCAGAGACTTTGGTTGATCTGATACTATTTCCTCTATTATCCATAATAGTGAGTGGGAGATTCCAATGCAGGTTCCTTCAATGGTTAAAGAATACATTCAGTCCTTCACAATTTCAGGTGGCAGAGATGTGATCAAATGGAAGCATAATGCAATTAGTTTTAAGTCTGTCTAGGAACATTGCAGGAAGCAGGTACAGTGGGATACTGTTGTGTGGAAGGTGTGCAGGTCTAGGGCATCCTTCACCTCAGCCTTGATTATGCAGAATGCTATCCCTACTTTTGTTAATCTGCCAAAGAGGGGTCTGTTGCTTCCATCCATCTTGTCATTGCTGCTATAATGGACTAGACAATGTGGATCGTGTCTTTTATTTCTTGCTCTTATGCCACAGTCATTTGGGGCTTTGTTTTTGACATATTGAATTGTCCTTAGCCTGTTTTTTTATCCTAAGACATATGATGGAGTGGTTCCCTGCTGCAGACAGGGTAATATCTGTGAAGTATAAGTTTTTGAAATACGTGTTCCCCACTGTTCATTGGTCTATTTGGGCTCAGCGAAATTCTGCTCTCCATCAGGGTTACAAGAGATCTCATGCTGATGTGGTGTTGATTGTGCTCTCAGAATGTGTGACCCTCATAGGTCTAAAGACTCAAGATTTTGCTTTACTCTTCCCTTGATGATTTTTCTCTGTACTTTTTGTTTGTGGCTTGGTTGCCTTTTTCTTTTTGTGCTCTATTGGAAACGGTCCTATTCACTTCCAGCTTTGTAAATGAGGGTATGCCCTCAAACCTCTAGTACTCCATAGAGTTTCTTTTATAAAACAACCCCATTCAGGAAAATAAATAAATCTGATCATAAGCTTTATTCTTTATGCGTGTACCCATAAACAGGAGACAAGTAAAAAAAAAAATCTTCACTAAGTGGTGCAACTAGAAGAAATGGAAAAACCAATACTTGTTAAAGAAAATTTGATAAGAAAAATGTGATTTTGACTGATCAAAAAAAAAAGGGAGAGAAATGTGATTTAGAAGAGAGGATATATAATGTAGAATGTAATTATTGATTCTACTAAAAAGAATGGTTATAAAGTCCTCAAAATACATAAGAAAATAGACCACAACCAAAAGAACTAGGGCATTGACCGTTATGTCCAAGAGGCAATATAACAAAACAGGACTGAAGCCTCAAAAAATACAATGGAGTTATAAGTGATGCTAATGAAGCCTATGATGATCATTGCTGTAATCTAGGCAAAATGGACAATGAGAAGGAATGATAAAGACTAACAATGAGTTGTGGATAAACGAAAAGAACCAAACCCCTAACCTACTATTCCTTTAATGATGCCATGACAACACTTGAACACTATGCTACAACTAAGGTTCTATATATCGGCCTACACGGACCGACCCGACCCTGTCGTAAGTCATAAGGATTCGGCCAAAGTCGAGTAGGTAACTGTTCAACATTCCCTTTTGACTAAATATCACTACTGACTTGGTAGAGACTTGAGGGGACTCAGCCAAGTCTGAAGTGGTGGAGATTGTAGTGACTTGACCAAGTCACTATACTATCAGCCGATAGTCTAGAGACGCAGCCCAGTCAGCTTTTCACGATGGCAAACATATTTTTTCCTCATAATTTCAACTTCTCTCCTCTTAACAACCCTCTATAAGCTCTAGGCTCAATCAAAACCTAATATCTATGAATAAAACCACAAGAAACACAACATCCTAGATTCCTAGCGTAGATCCTGAATCAAACCATTACAACCGTTCATCTAATAGGTAAGTGTACTTTGATGCTAGATATATAAATATTTTGTTTGTAAACCTTGCACCTGATCATCTATCTATTAATTTTAAATTATTTTTAAAAAATCTTCAAAGGCTTAAGCGTTGTGAATACTAATTCCCATGTTTATTAGTCTTCTATTTGGTACATTTATATGTATTTCATATTTAAGACATTAAGCACAGCTAGAGTCATAAATTAAATAAAAACTCCAAATTAGTATATTTAGACAAGTTGACAACCAATATTGGCTCAAAATAAAATGTATAACCAAATCTCATTGTGAATCACCTATACATCTCTCATCAGAATCCACTAAAATTCATTAGAAGACCATATTTAAGGAGTTCCAACCTCAAAAAATTCCATATTTAGGTCAAGTTGTGTGATGTTGAAAATTTACACAAGAAGCGGGTGCTTGTTGGCTTGGATGTTAAATAGGCACACTACCTTGTTCTTGAATTCTGTAACGACAAGAGCAAGTTTCTCTTGCACTTAAAAGTTTGCCTTGTGGCTTAACTTGTATACATGATCATGCATCATCCCCCTGTGCACTAATGTGATGTAGGCTCCTTTATGTCTGTCTCCACTTCGATCCCATATTATATGTACTCTAGTACGTATCAAGTATGGTTATGCCTATAATATGAGATTTGTTAAAATCTCAAACACAATTTAATATTTTTTAATATTTAATGGATTAATATAATATTCTCTAACATATAATGTTTAGCATGAACACTTTAATTGTTATGGAGCAAAAATAAAAATGAAGAAACCTAATGAAAAAGTTTTATGTACAATATGTACTTGAACTTCTGATATATCATATGCTTATAAGGTTCAAGTCCAACAAAACATTTGAGACATATATCTATCCTTCCCCAAGTATAATGTGTCTGACTAGGATACTTCATAGATTTAGAAAACTGTATGTAACATAACTTCGCATCACCTAAACCTGCCAAAACTGCACCAAGTGCGTGCAACTTAAATCATTTTATACACGCATGGAACAACAACAATAATGAAGGAGGTCCTCAAGCTTGGTGCACGACATGGTGTGACCTTGGGGTCGCACCACAATCCAAACAGAATTATAGAAGTTCTATAACTTGATGGTTGAAACTTGAAACTGAGGACTCAAGTGGGTGTATTTCTTATGCAATTTATAAATGGGCTAGTTTTGAAGAGAGTGTGTCAAACGTTCTATCACCTATGGAACACATGTACATCACATGTCACATTTGTGCTTTCGCCCTCACATATTGTGTATTACCCTAGCTTTGTTGGCAACTCCACTTAGCCACAACACTCTATCACGTGAACCACACAATGCATAAAAAATAGAGGAATAACATTTCCACAATTGTGACCATTTCTCTTACAAGTTACAACCAAGTTGTAAACCCAAATGCAGCTATTTCATTGCAGTGAGTAAAATCTGAGAATTATCAATATCAGGTAATAAACACTAAACCCAATTATCAATCCTCATAAATAAACACCAATAACGAAAAGTGAACACAACTGTAGTACAAAGAAAGCTACTACCCAAAAACCAACAAAATCAAATTTATTCAGATCTCTGTATTAAAAATTGAAGCTAAACCCAATAAGAAGGGGAAAACACGAACCCTTTTTGCCAGGCATTTGCTTCCCATCTTTGACATAGTATTCGCGAATATCAACCACAACTTTTCCTTGCCAGTTCCTCACCGACACCCTCCTATTCTTAGAAATCTATAAACAAAATAAACAATATACAAATTTGAATAACGTTTACAAATAACAAAAAAGGACACACTATATGCATAGAGGTGATACGAGGAATATACCTCACAGACGACGATGTCGTCGTCGGAGTCATCAGTGGAGTCCTTCTTGGAGGTTTTCTTTGGGGGAGCATCGCCTTCGGAGGCGTACTCTTCGTCGTCCTTCCTCTTCCCCCATTTCGACATTTCTCGCCGTGTGTACTATATTATTAAGTGTGTATATATATATATATATATATATTCACATGTAAAAGAAGTGTAAGCCTGAGTGATGATGTTACAGAACCCTCAAAATCAAGAGAGAAACTACGAAAGAGAGAGATTAGAGAGAGAACCCTTACCCTTGCTGCTGCTAATTTGGTGTTGAGTAGACGTGCTGTACATGACCTTTGCGGATGCTGCTGTTATAACACCACTTTTCTTTTTTCTTTTTTTATTATTATTATTTTTTAATTTTAGGATAAACTACCTGACAGGTAAAATTTGAACCACTTTTAACTTTTACTTACACTCTAATTTATTTTTTTAGGCTCCGACATATGCAAATGATCAATACAATTTAACACAAAATATCTATAATCTTAAAAGGCAACAATACCCCCTATTTATTGGACAAAAATCTTCTCCATTGGAACAGGAGACCTATTCCCCCGGTTCAATTGTGTGGCCCAGAACAGGCCACGTCATTTTTAAAAAATCACTGTTCAAAAAGTAACTCCAAGTTACCCCCACAATGTATATTTACTGTATATGTAGTGTATATAATGCATAATTCCCCTTTCTGTATATATATATACGGAGTATTATACAATGTATATACATTTTCTGAAATGCCCCCTTCTCATTTCATTTCATTTCATTTCATTTCCCTCCCAAATTGTTGTCTAGGTGGTGGAATTGGAAGAAAAATTTGAAGAAGGGCGCTGAAGGAAGGAATTGGAACACAAATTGGAAGGGTGTTGAAAGAATTAGAACGGTAGTAGAACACATCATTGATATAGTGTATATTTTCTGAAAGCCCCCTTTCTGCATAGGAAGAGAAATTGGAAGGAGGGCGCTAAAGGAATTGGAAGAAGGGTGTTGAATGAATTGTAAGGGCGCTGAAAATCCTAAAGGGAAGTGGTGGTTCGTCCAAGTGTTCATCATTGAGTAAGAGCTTTTGAAAAAAGGTTTAAGCTTTATTTACGAGTTGTTATTCATAAATGACCTTTTTTTATTATTATGAAGGACCTAGGGTTTGTATTTTTCATTATTTCAGTGTTTTACATATGAATTTATGAATCGTATGAAATAGTTTTTTATAACTGTCGTTTGTTTATTTGTGAATTGTTATTAAATTGTGGGAAAATGAATGCGAAATTCTGAAAATTTTATTCGTGATAAATACTACAAAATAGTGGGAATATTTTCTATTATAAGTTATGTTGGGTTTCAAAGTTTCAATTTAAGATGTTAGAATAAAATTTTCATTCTATTCCTGTAAAATAGTGTTTTATTCATGATAAGTACTTCAAAATAGTTGGGATATTCTCTATTATAAGGAATGAATGTTTTACACTTCCAATTTAAAATGTTAGAATAAATTATTTATTCTATTCCTTTATGCCAATGTTTAATATAATTTGTAATTGTAATTGAGAATTATGATTGGTAATTATAAATAACGTAACATGGTTGTAGTTTTAAACTTCCAATTTAATACCTTAGAAAAAAATTTCCATTCTATTACTGTAAGGCAATGTTTTATACAATTTCTAATGGTAATTGGTGTGTCGTATCTGTTCTTGGATGGTATGATTTTTCTGTTGCACTTTATTTGCAGTTAATTTTCTGTTTGTTTTATCTGTTTGTAGTTCAAATTTTGTTGACAATTAGTCCAAAGGTTGTTCGTGCATAATAGAGTTTGGTTTGCTGCGATGTAAAGACTGGTTTAGAAATGGGTCGACTGAAGTCGATAGCTCAAAAGAAATCTCCTTTTTGACGAAAAAAAATACGTATACGGAAAAAAATGGAGGACAATATCGTTCATCCGCCTCCTTCTCCTACTCTCCAATCTATGATGCGAAGCATCCGTAATCATTCTTCTTTTGCGAGTCGTACACCTCCCTCGCTCCCCCCCCCCCCCCCCAAAAAAAAAACAATTATATACTCCTACCACTAAATCATCTGGCCTTGCTAATGAGGATTATAATGTTGAGGTGGACGAAAAGGATTATGATTGTAATGACTCGGTCATTTTCCTTCCTTTCCTTTTTCTCAAATTTTTCGGATAAATTTTTTCCGTTTAATTTTCTTTTCCGAATTCTGTTTCTCATCACTGGGTGTCGTTTTGAGTGCTTGGAAATGGTTTCCAAGACTTTTTTCGTTTGGATCGACAACTTCCTTTAAGGATCGAGTCATTTCCACATTTTCACTTTTTGGACACTATTCACTTTTCATCTTTTTCCCCATTTGTCACTTTTTGGCACAACCTCACTTTTCGTGCTCAGAGTTGGTTTTTGACTTCACGTATCTTCATTCTATGTGGTTTTCACGAAATACATATCTTTACTTTTGTAGAAAAGTACTCTGGTTACTTCCGGTATCCATAGGGGCATGGATGTAAAGTTCTTTAGAAATATTTTATTTTCTTGGGGCATTTTTCATAAATATCTTTTGGATATATTTTATTTTAGGGGTTTTTAAGAAAATATTTTTGGAATATATTTCCATTCTGGGTCATTAGTGCAATTAACCCCTTTTTGAATGGGCCATTGTGCAATTAATGAAAGTTATTGCAAAAATGCCTCGTTTTGAGCCTGGATACTCTTAGAATTTCCTCCCGGTCATTTTCCCCACATTTAGGGATTTTTGACCCCGGTTGCCGTCGAACTTGTTTGGGGTATATCTCTCTACTCGGGACTCAGTTTTTGACGTCGTTTCTTCTGTGATTCATATTTTCTCATTTCGGTTCTTTTTCGTTCACAGAATTTTGCCATTTGAGAGCGTCTGCTCAAATTTCATTTTTCTAGACCCGGCGGGGCCCTTTTGGGGTACTTTTAGGGTTTTATTATAAATAGAATGTCTTAAAATGAAAAATCACTTTTTCACCATCTTCTTCCCTCTCTTAGCTAGCAGCTATGGCTGCCCAAGGGGCTACCACCTTTCTTTCTTCGTCTCCACTTGCATGCCTTTGTATTTTGTTTTCCGCCTTAACGTTTATCGTAGGCCTCGTCGTGTTCTACCTTTCCCCCTTATTAGAATCCATTTCTGACCATTTTTGAGTTCGGGTTTTGAGTTCGAGTTTGGATTTTCATGGTACCTCAAAGGTTAAAGTTGTTCCTCTCGTTGTCCCCGACATACCTTAGGAGTATCGTTGGATTCGGAGCATTTTTCTTTCGGTGGGGATTTGAGATTTCATCTCAAAGTGAGGTAGGGGATGTTGTAAGTTTATATTTTTGTTGTCTTGCATGTTATTGATGCTTATACAACTTATTTATATGCCTTGATATTAAATCTAGAAACTTTATTATTTATTTTTCTTGTATGAGATTTGATTCTCCCGGTTGATTATAGCTTAGTTTAAACATGTGGTATGATATTATATTACACCTTGATATGATCTTTGACATATATTAAATTGAGAACATTTGGATAAGTATTGAAGTTTTTATTTAATATTTTTCTTGAATGAAAATTTAATTCATGTGGCCTTAACTAGTTTGAAATCAATATGTGATGTCATATTATATTAGACTCTAACATACTCTTCAACATATGTGAATTTGAGAGTATTCGAAGATGTTTTAAAATCTAGAGATAATTAATTAATTTGTTTAATTAATTTATTCCAAATGTACTATTCACTCCATTGGATTTCTGGCTTGATATTATTGATATGCATGCCATATATTTTCATATATATTAAATCGGGAATATTTGATTAGGTTTTGAAACCTTTCATTTTATTTTTTTCTTGTATGAATGTTTAATTATCATGGTTGTATCTTGCATGGAAATCACTTGTATTAGGCTATTAAATCAAGTCTTGGCATGTTTTATAACATACTTTAATTTGAGAGCATTTAGATGAGTTTAAAAATCTAGAGATTATAATTAAAATAATCGATTAAAATATATTTAATGGTTCCATTGGCTTGATTAAATTTTAAACTTGATATTTGTAATGACTAGAACTTATTTACTAGCATATCTTAATTTTGGACCATTTGGAGTAGCTTTAGAATCTAGAGATTTAATTATCATGATTTAATTAAATTATACTTTATTGTTCTAATAACCTAATTAAGTTTTTGAATAGATATCGGTGATGACCATGCTATGTCCTTTAACATGTATTGATTTGAGGTTATTTGGAATTGATTTGGAATCTAGAGAATTTAATGCCATTTGTCATGCCATGCTAGTTGTGGACTTAGAGCATGTATTGTACGTGTTTCCAAATTTGGTTGTGCGTGGTAGATAATTGATTATCTTGTATATACATGTTGATATATACGTTGTTGCACAACTTGTTGATTTTGGAAACTTAGGGATGTCGTTATTTGACTGCGGCTAGGAGATGGTTCTAGTACGGGGGATTGTCCCCCTATAGTCTAGTGCGCACATAAGGAGGTTACCCGTGGGCTAGTAACCCTAAAGTAACCACGTTGTCGGTCTGATCCGCCGTGATGTTCGAGTATCCACCCTGTTTGATTTCGCATTTTATTTTAAGTTGATAACTAGATGATGCTGTAACTTATTGTAACTTCTTGTTCCTTATTTGATTTCCCATTTAAGTTTCAAGATGTTAACTTTAAGAAATCATGCTTTATATGTTGTATTGGAAGTTTCAATGTTAGTTAAATTGCATCGATATTGTGATTTATGTTTTATTATTCTAATGTGGCCTAGGATAATTCCTTAGACTCATTTGGAACATAGACGTTAGGTGGCATGAACCATTTTAGTTGATTTCACATTTCAGATTTCAAGTTGATAACTTTGAGAATCTATGTCTTGTTGTGTTGTATAGTATGCTTCTATATCGTTTAATTGCATAAATATTGTAATTTATACTAGAAATGTTCTAAGGTAGCTTAGGATACTCCTTGAGTCTCACTTTGATATAGATGTTATGTGGCATGAGCCCCTTTAACATGTTTCACCTTAAGGTAATATTATTGTAAAATGTTAGGTCAATGCATGCTCATCTCCTATGAGTAGCTTTATGTTACTCACCCCAAAGTTACCGGGGATATTTTTCAGGTACGAAGACTTGGTTCGTGATGCTCATTATTCCTTGGATGGCTTGTAACTTTTAAGTTTTTATTTCATGCAAATGTTAGCATGAAATGTCATTTTATAGCCTTATATGTCAAAACTTGTATCTTTGATTCCATATATGTAATGTGTACATAAGTACACCTTTTACGATGTATTTGACT